TGCAGCCCATTTTCCACCTCCCTGTCCAAACTGTGGGGCGCTCCAGCCCTCTGTTCTTCCTGTCGTTGTCACGCTTTTTGATGGTGCTTCACCCCGCTGAAGCCTCGAAACATAGGATTTGAGCAAAGGAGAAAAGAAAACAAAAATCCAAGCAGTGTTTCCATGTGTCCCTCATTACTCATTTAAAATAAAAATAATAATAATAATTAATAATAATAATAATACCTTTTGTGATTGTTTCCACTTACCAGTACTGTTGTAACTCTGAAATCTTGTTTTTACCCGAACACAAAAAATAAACACGTGGTAGGTAGTACACACCGGATGATCACCCCTCATTGAAGGCCAGTGTGGTCTACATACACCTTGTTTCAGAAAGAAAGAAAGAAAGAAAGAAAGAAAGAAAGAAAGAAAGAAAGAAAGAAAGAAAGAAAGAAAGAGAAAAGAAAAACTCATTAAATAAATGCACACACTTCGGCAAGGGCCCTCAGATCATCTGCTACACGGATTTTATTCCACCACTTTCCCTGCAACTGTACCCTCGCACGATTATCTAGTTGGCTGAGCTTTACATTCAAACTTACTCCAATTAACATACATGCAAAGCAGAAACCCACCACTAAAATACTCACGAGTTGCTGTGTCCGACATCATGAATCAGAGCCCTGCGGCCTTTGTGTTTTGAGTCCCAGGTCTATCCGAGTCTGAGCGTCCACTTTTTCATTTTTCCAATAGCATTTTTCAGTAAACTGAAGCACAATTATAGCTATAAGTTTATAATTCCAAAGCTCAGTTTCTAAGAAAAACTACAGAAGAAGTTGAGAATGACAGAAAGCAAACAATTCAAAGACTACTGCCTGGATTCTACTTCTAAAAGTTTATGTGTAAGGTTTTTTTTTTTTTTTTTTTTTTTTCAGAACCGGGGATTGAACTCAGATCCTTGCGTTTGCTGGTCAAGCGCTTATCCTACTGAGCCATCTCCCCAGTCCAAGGTTTATTTTTTTAAATGGAAAACTTCTTTCCTTTAAGAATGAGAACCTTGGGCTGGGGAGATAGCTCAAGAGCATAGGCGCCGGCCTGGTAAGCCTAAGGTCCTGAGTTCAATCCCCAGTACCACAAAAAAAAAAGATAGAATCTTAATAAAACAAAGGAAAACAGCACAGAACTTGGCATATATTAGGTAATTTTTGAATGTTTTCATTCATTTACTAGTATACGTAATTGGCAAAGCGACAGAAATGCCATTCATTCCAGTGCCTTTTACATTAATCAGAAACATTAAAATTGCACTTTATTTTTATCCACTTGGTGCACACTTGAAGCAATTGCACGGAGTCCAGTACCATGGATGTGTCAAGCATTAATTTATCGGCTTGGCTGGCTGCTGCTCACCAAGCGGAAATTGGAAGAACAAGGTCACGCCCACTACCAGCAAAAGAGCAATTCTAACACTTTGTCCACTTCTTTCTTGATGCAAAGATTTTTCTTCATGTAAACACACAAGAATTTCTGCAAGGGATATAGTATTGGGAGAGCCTGAGGGGTGCCAGGAGGGTGATAAGGATGTGCCGCCCCCCTCAGGAGCACGCAGTCCTGGTGGAGGGGGCAGTGGTGCGGACCTCGGGCAGGCCTCCTGAGGAAGACCCTGGGAAGCGCGCTGATTATGGAAGGCAAGATGAGCCACTGCACCAGTGGGCACTGCCCATTCCCGTGTCCCTAGCTAGTCACGTAGCTGCTAGCCATCTCTATCCCAAGATGAATTCTAGAACGAAGCAGACAGCATCGCACACAAAAAAAATCACATGTCACACACCGGGTTGTGCAACTGTTTCCTGTGCGAAGTGCGTCCTTCTCCCTCTGTCTCCACCTCTTCCTGCCCCTCTCCACGTGGATGCTGCAGCCGAAAGGATTTTTTCAAAAGCCAGGTCTCACCCTATCATAGCCCAGTTGTGGAATAAAGTTCACAAGTCCCTAAGCAAACTGCAAGGTGCCACGCTCCAGTTTCTCCTGAATTCATCAGTTGTGCCTCACACATAGACACACACACACACACACACACACACACACACACACACACACACTGTTCTTTCAGCTGCTAACGGTGTCCCTGTCGCAGGACCTTCCTATCTGGAAAAGCATCCCCAACTCATGACTCTCATACTCCTATTCTCCAGGCTTCTGCTTAAGGTTGAGTTCTTTAGGGAAGCCACACTAAACTAGGTTAGACTCCTATTAGACAGTATAACAGTTTCTTGTTTCTTCTTTTGTTCCAGCTTCCAAAATTGTAATAATATTAGTACAATTATTAATCAGCTGCTTGTGTAGTGGTTTAATTCCTGTCTGTGCTCCAGGCTCTAATCCCCAGGCAGAAGGAATCATATCTATCTTATTTCTGAGCCTAGCATCACTTGGAGGCATAGTAGATACTGTAGCCCCTAAATATTTGCTGAATTGATAAATAAGATTGTGAAGCATCCAGGTAGATGTTTCCAAAGTGATATTTCTAGCAGAAATGAAGGCTATTAAAACCATATTCAAATACCCAATCCAAAAATGGGCATCTGAGATGAATATACACTTCTCAAATGAAGTAATACAAACGGTGAATAAATATATGAAAAAAAGTTCAACATCATTGGACATTGAAGAAGTATGAATTAAAACAACCTTGAGATTCAATCTCATCCCAGAAAGAATGGCTATCATCTAGAAGTCAGACAACAAAAAATGCTGTAGAGGTTGTGGGGCAAAAGGAACCCTCCTCCACTGTTGGTGGGAGTGCAGACTGGTGCAACCACTGTGGAGATCAGTGTGGAGACTCCTCAAAAACCTAGGATTAGAGGTCCCATTCAACCAAGCTATTTACCTTCTGGTTATTTTTTCAGAAGAACTAAAAACATCATATCACAGTAATATACGTGCACCCATGTTTATAGCAGCACAGTTTGTCACAGCTACAGCCTGGAAACAACCCAAATGTCCATCAACTGACAGATGGATAAAAAACATATGGTGTTTTTTATACAATGGAGTATTGCCCAACTATAAAAAAAAATAAATGTGAAGCTTTTATAGGTAAATGCATGCAACTAGAGACCACACTCTTAAGTGAAATACATTAGACCAACATGTGCAAGCATCGTATTGTCTCCTTAGTGCAAGAACCTGAAAGAGAAAATAAAATCTGAAGGGTACAATAGATACTGGGAAAAGAAAGTGCATCTGTTCAAAGGGAAGGAATTATTGAGTTCAGGAGAAGAGCAGGTGAGGGAGTCAGGGAAAGAGATTTACCTATGTATGTAAGCAGGATGGCTTGGACGACTGTACTGGGGATATCCACTGGTCTGTGGAAAGAAGCAGTTAATGCTTAATTTGTTTTGTCTCCTTTTTTCAATTCTTTGACTTTTTTCTCTTCTTAATTTCTTATGTATATTTTCCTTTCTTCTTCCAATTTTTCATGCATATATCTGGTAATCTGAACAACTACTCTGAAGACAACACTATGCAACAAAACGAATACCATGAAATTCATATTATTTTGTTTGGTGAAATTCTGTATCATTTGGAATTTTTCTGTTTTAATATTATTTTGTAGTCTTTTAAAAATAAAATTTAAAAAATGGAGGCCATTGAAAGGTGACAATCAGGTTGTTGTCTGCCTTCTGACCATAAAGTAAAAGTCATAGAGGAGATGAAAGTGAATAGTGATTTTCATTGCTGGAGAATAGAAATTAATTTGAGTTCCTTAAAGCTGGTATCCATGAACAATTCTTCTCACTTTTCTTCAGCAAAAAATATTATAAAGTTATATGTGGATTCAGTCCAGCCCTACCTCTACATCAAATTGTTTCTGATAACTAATGCAGATCCTTGCATTTTTCTTTTTTCTTTTCTTTTTATATTTAAATTTATTGCTACAATTCATGATCACATTCATCACAGGGAATTTGTACCTGTACATGACATATTTTAGTTCCTCTTTTTTCTGATTCCTCCCCTCCCTTCAACTCCTTCGCACCTCCTCATTTGCAAAGCTTTGTTTCCATTTTATTCATTTTTTCTCATTTTTTCTTTTCCTTTCTATCCCCCAACTCCTCTTTCCCCTTAAACAGTTACTTCCCAGTGAAAAATATCTATTATTAGACATTTATTACATACTTTCAGTTTCTCAAACCACAGAGACAATGTGATATTTACACATAACGTGGCTATCACACGGTGTCATATGTTCTTTCATCTTGGAAACTAGACCAACGTTTTCTAGCAGAATATTTTCCAGATCACATCTCCCTTCCTCTCTACTTTTTTCTTCTGTCTAGCTGCTTACAGTTCTCCATGGCAAATGTCTAACTTGAATGTGGCTGGGTGTTAAGACAAGTGTTTTGGTAAAGGTTTCCATCTACCCCACCATCCGCAACCAAAGTACATAATTTCCCTTCGGATGTACAAAAGTATAGCTCTTGTTCTCTAATCATTCTAGACACAAAAATTAGAGAGGAAAAAGAGAACAATCAACAACATTCCTCACAGGTAAGAAAAGTCAATCTTGCATTTTGCAGCATGTTATTGTTTCCAAAACTCCATTATTCTTGATCCTAGCTAAAGAGCTCTGGGCCCTTAACAGCACCAAGATAGACTTTTTTCCGGATTAAAAAAATGAGGTAGAGCATTTCTGGGTCAATAGGTCATAGAAGTAATAAAGCTTCAGAATCTAAATCTACATTTTCCCGCAGGCGCACTGTGCCAACTGCCCAAACCAGGCATGGTGGCACACGCCTGGAATTCCAACTCTGGGGAGGCTGAGACAGAAGGATCACTACAAGTTCAAGCTGCACGGTGAGGCCCTGTACCAAATAATAAATAAAGATTTATAAAACTTTAAGTCTACATTTTTCTGCATCAGTATACCTCTTACACTGAGATCTGGCTCACGTGCTAAAGGGACAGACAAGATCCTAGAGGCTGGCCCGTAGGAACTTCTGCACTAATGGAGCTTGGCCTTACTCTGCTAAGGAAACCTTCATTCTTCTGAGAACTTTCCTCAAAGCCTCCTTCACTTCCTTGTTTCTCAGGCTATAGATCACTGGGTTTAGCATGGGGATGACCACGGTGTAAAACACTGACACGATCTTGTCCTCCCAGAGGGATTTTCCCATGTTCCCTTTCAGATACATGAAGATGAGAGTTCCAAAGAAAAGAGCCACTGCAGTCATGTGGGAAGCACAGGTGGAGAAAGTCTTGGCCCGGCCGCCTGCGGACCGAATCTTCAGAATGGCTCGAATGATGAAAAGATAAGATGTAAGGATCACCGAGGCGCTGGTCATGATGACCACAAATGCCATCAGGAAGATCACCTGCTCCTGCCATCGAGTGTCACTGCAGGCAAGTTTCAGGAGGGGCGGGAGGTCACAAAAGAAGAAATCGATGCAGTTGGACTTACAGAAGGAGATGGAGAAGGTGCACCCTGTGCGGACCACTGAATTCACCATGGCCCCAGCATACGCAGCGGCCACCAGCCCCAGGCGGGTCCGAGGTGTCATGACCATGGTGTACAGGAGGGGATTACACACGGCCACGTAGCGGTCATAGGCCATCACAGCCAAAAGGAAACATTCAGTGCTCGCATAGAGTGTGAAGAAAAAGAACTGGGCAGCACAGCGCTCATAGGTGATGACCATCCTATGGGTCCCCAAGGTCTCAAGCAACTGAGGGACAATAACAGAAGAGTAGCAACTGTCCAGGAAGGAGAGGTGGCTGAGGAAGAAGTACATGGGCGTGTGCAACCCGGGGTCCCTCTGGATCAGCATGACCATGCCCAGGTTGCCCGCAAGGATTACGAGGTAAAAGGCCAGGAACACAATGAAGAGACCCGTCTGCTGGGCGGCCTGCAGCTGGAACCCTGTCAGAACAAATTCAACCACTCTGGTACCATTCCCGGCCATGAAACCAAAGTCACCTGCAGAAACAAAAGTACAAATGGCAGAATCTCATGGAAGGTGAGCTAAGGCGACCACGTCTTGGGGTTGCTCTTTACCAATAACCTTTTAGGATTTTCAAGCACTTCATATCTTTCCCCAATTTTATTGCACTTAACGTTTCAGAAGTCCAAGAAAGTCAGCATTGCAAATCTCATTTTTGACAGAATATGAGGGACAAGCAGCCAGGTGAAGAGCTCGAAGCTTCAGTCCAAACAGGCAAAGACAAAGCTAGGTTGCCTCCAAGCCCTGTAGATGCCACCCGGAACCAATGTGAGCTTCAGGTGGCACCAGGACTTCCTGGAGAAACCCTGCTAGTATAGTCTTAAAAACTGGGCTTTGAAATCAGATATCATTGTGAGTTCAAGGCCAGCCTGGGCTGCACATTAAGTTCAAGTCCAGCCTCAACTACAAGGTGAGACTCTGCCTCAAAAAAAAACATAAATTTAAAATAAACATATCAATAAATGGAAAAAAATCAGATTCCCGCAAACCAATCAAGTTAATTAATCTTTCTGAAACTCAGCCTCCTTCTCAGTTTGTATTACAAATCCAAAGTCATAATATTTTTACAATGACAAACATAATTTGCACTCATGCCCACTTAGAATTACTTTTTGTAAGTATGCTATATACACACACAATGAAATACCACTCAGGTGTAAAAAGCAAGACAATCTTGTTATTTTTGACAACAGAAATGGTCCAAGAAGATACTACATAAAATGAAAAAAATCCAGGAATAGAAAGACAAATACCACAAATAAATACATCCTAGGCCCCCAAGATAGCTCAGCAGACTGAGCACCTGCTTTGGCAAGTTCAGGGACCAGCGTTTGATCCCCAGTCCTGCGTGCTGCGCTGGCCCCACCCCCAGGGCTCACTGAGCCATTGACCAAGTTGGGGCGTGGTGGCGCACGCCTGTAATCCCAGTGCTGGGGAGGCTGAGAACACGAGTATCACTACAAAGTCTGAGCTGTGTAGTGAGACCCTGTACCCAATACATAAATGAAAGTAAATAAATAAATACATCCTCACTCATAGCATAAAATATTTGAACACAGATGAATAGAAAATAATGTCAGTTACCAGGGATTGGGGTGAGAAGGCAGGGAAGATGTTGGTCATAGGTATGAAAGTTCAGTAAGTCCAAGAGATGCATTGTACAACATGTGGGTATAGTTAACAAAAATGTACTGTAGACTTCAAAATTGCTGAGGGATTTTTTTGTTTTCACCGCAAAAAAAAAATTATGTGTTAATTAGTTTGGTTCAGGCAATCCACAGTATTTCAGAGCATCTTTATATGCCATAGATATGCACAGTTTGCCTTAGCCACTTCCTCTGTGAGACGCAGTACCCAACACCAGCAACTTAAAGGAAGAGATGCCTCTTTCAGCCTACAGTTCTGGAAGTTTCGGTGTTGCATGGTCAGAGCCAAGATGGAAGGCTCTGGGCAGAGGACAGCTGCTCAGATTATGTCAGCCAGGAAACACAGAGAGGAGGGACCGGACACCCCCAGGGACCCTGCTCTTCTGACCAGACCACAGCCTGCTAACAGAACCTTTATCTCTGAACTCTTTAATCCATCCTCGAGTACAACACTCCCATAACCCGCTTTCCAAAAGTCCCTCCTCTGAGCACAATGCTTTGGGGAGTACAGTCCAGATCCAAGCCACAACATAATTTTCATTTGCCAATTAAAAATAAATAAATAAATAAACAATGGGACCATAAAAATTACTTGTTTCCAAATCCTGGGATAACGTGAGTAACATGCTCTTAAATGGGTTCTAAAATTGTGTCTCCCAGCCTACAATCCCCTGAAGTCCCAACGTCAGCTCTGTCTTCCTTGAGGGCAGGCCTGATGTGCACATGCGCAGAAAGGACCGGGAAGCCAGAGCCACGAAGGGCAAGCACGGGCTCAATCTCTGCAGCTCGCCGCCCTGCCAAGTGGCTTCCTCCTCTCTCTTCCTGCCAAGTATCATGGCCTTATTTCCAAGTTCTCCTCTTATTCCCAAGGACCTGTCCCACTTTTAAATGCCAGATCATTATCAATCAGTGAATCAAGCCATTCCGGAATTAGCTTGCAAAGCTCATTAAGGGATAAAGCTGTCACATTGAGGTTCGCACTCTAATACCAGCGGGATTCTTGCCAGGTAGCAGAACAATCCTGCCTCTGTGGTTTGACTGCTAATAATTTGAGGTATTGAAAATATGGAATGTGAACTTTAAAGGTGATTCTACTTGTCCTCTTTCCACCCTTGAAACAAAAACTGAAGTTGAGAAAGATCTCATGGAACTTTAGATAAATAACAAAGTACAATTTGGATCAATGCTTGGCAAAAGCTAAAGGAATGACGCAATAAAGGCCAGTATATGCTGGTTTTTTGTTTTTTTTTTTGTTTGTTTGTTTTTTTGGGTTTTTTGGTTTTTTTGGTTTTTTTTTTTTTCTTCAACTGAGTTCTTACTAGTACAAATATGTAGGTTGCGTGCTATTCCAAGGGCCAAATCCGATCCTGCTCTTGGTCAATCTTGCTGCCATCTTCAACAGTCCGTGACATCAGCCTGACCAAGAAAGAGTCTGTACTCGCACACTTACTCGGTAAGAATCTACTGAGAACTTACTGAGCATCAGGCATTCTTGTAGCTCCTTGACGCAAAATGAAGACACTTGTCCTCAAGGAGCAGTTATTTCAGGGGAGCCGTGCACGGGTGATGTGTTTTATAAAGAAGAAGAAATGTGGGGGCTACCAAGATGAAGTTCTGAGAGGACACGCGGCCGCATGGGAGGAGTTCAGGCCTTCAAAGTAAACTCAAGCTATAGAAGAGGAACGTCATGAGAGCTTCATTAAAATGGAACATTAGGAAATGGTGGAGGTCAGGTAGCCTCATACATCTTTTACCTCAAAACTTTAAAAGATAATAATCATGTCAGAAAAGGCCAACCACAAAGCCAGCCATGACTAACATGTGGTGTTTCCACGTGCTCGTGAGACACTTTAAAGACAACTTGGTTCAAAAATGTTATCTTCCTCATACCAGAGCATAGCCCCTGGAGTGCTGTAAATTCCAAGGTGCCTGGAACATCCAGCATAAAGATAAGGTTGGGATATCCGGCGTACAGCACCTGGATGCAGACCAGGCGTCTCTGTTTGCGTCACCTTGACCTTGGGCTGACTCCTTAACCTGTGGAATCTCATTTTTCACACCTCTGCAGTTACAATGATAGAACTGTTGCGCTGTGAGAAGTAGGAGATTTAACTCCTGGAAACGCACACTGTGCCTAATACAGGCAAAGCCCTGACACATGAAATTGTTACAAGTATTTTTCAACCACCAGGTTGTTCAACCATTCAGAAATCGAAATTCTCTCCACTTTATTGCTGAGTTAAATGAGGCTTAAAATGGGGAGACCACTTTTTTAAGAGAGCACAGTTCATAAACAGCACCAGGGCTCCTGACTCCAGATGCTCTGTGCTCTGCACTAACTTCCTCCGCACGTCACCCAGAAGTAGACACAACTGCCTGGCTTCTGGAGGAGCCCCCTGGGAAGATGCAGGTCAGGAGACCCCTCCCCACATTGCATCACCACCCCAAGAGGCACTCCAGCCTCTGTGGCAGGAGGGAAGGATTTCTTCTGGCAAGCATGTGGCACAGTGAAGGAATGGCAGCTGGCTTCTGTGAGCCCGAGAGGACACAGGGTAGGAAGGCTGGAGATGGCATCCGGAATCCCACAGTTGCGTCCAGGCAGTATATCTTCCATGTCTGAATCTGTGTCCTGCTCACATAGCAGAGCTGCCCTGAAGAAGCGACTGCCATACGCCACTAGGGTCGCTTTTCCCTTTTCTCCTTAAAATGCCACTGGCAGGGAAAGGGATCCCTGTGACTAACATCACCCAAAACGTATAGGAGGCTGCAGCTTGGACTGGCCCCTGTACTGTCCTGAAAGCCCAAGTCCAGGCAGAGTCGCGCATGCTGAAGTCTCCCGCCACCATTCCAAAGCTAGGCTGCCCACCAGCCCTGCGGAGGAACCGGGAGGGAGATAAGAGCCAAACCCAAGCGGACCGGTTTCAGTTGATACAATAAGTAAGCCCCTTCTGTATAACCTTTATAAGGAGAGCAACTTCAAAGTAGTCAGATTTTTGTGCCCTGTTTCTTTCTTCTTCTGCGCTTTTCTGTCTATAAAACCAATCTCCTCTGCTCAGCACGTTGGAGCTCTCATTTTAATCCATAGAATGAGGTGTTGCCTAAGTGTAGCATCACACGTCAAGGCCAATGAGAACTTCACACTAAATGTGTTGGGATTATGCCCCTGGTAATAATGATGGCTACTGTTTAGAAAGCAGCGGCTGTGTGTATGGCGCTGTCCCAGGGATTCCATACATACGCCTCGCTTAAGTTCCAGCGCAGGACACATTCGTGTTAGCAAACGGGCTCATAGAGATTAAATACCTTGGCTTAGGTAAGATGCTAGGCAGGAACCTGAGTCACCCCTGGCCCAGGGACCATCACAATTCCAACCACTTCATATGACAGTAATGAGAGCGAGTAATGACAGTATCTATGCCCAGGACTTTTCTAATGGCTTTTACATACATTACCCCTTATACTTGGGCAAGGACTAAGCTAACATCAGTTAAAGGAACAGTTTGGAAAATGTAGCGGACAGCTAACTGGTGGTCAACCTGTTATACTCAGCTGAACTGAGCCAGCATGGTGCTGGGGGTGGAAGGACCACCTGAGGCCGTTGCCAGCAGCTGCAGAACTGGAGAAGCTGCTGGAAGCTGCTGGGTGTCTTGTACTATTCAGGACCTTGCCATGCTGGCTTCCCTGGGGAGCTTGGCTGTTGTTGGAGGAGTTCAAGACCTTTGTTGTAAAAAAAAAGAAGAAGAAGAAGACCTTTGTCCTTGCTGAGAAAGGCTACAGCTCACTTTGGGGGAGCTCTGGCCCTCATCTTGAGCATCA